TTTTTGTATAAACTTAAGAAGATAGACACCTTTTGGTTTAGACCTTAGAAATTATGACCTATTTAGTGTTGATGTTGTTGTTGGTTTTCCACTTTAATTATCAAAATACTAAAATTAACAAAGAAAAGCTAAAATTTAAACTTAAAATTGATATAAAAATCTATTTAATTTATTAGACTTGTTTATTTTAATCTCAAATTTTCAACCATTAAAACATAAAACTAACAATAGCAACAATACTTACAATGTGCAACTAACTTTCAAGTAAATAACCCAAAAAATAATCCCAATCCAAGAAGTTGATACAAAAATATGAAAAAGCTATTTTTACTCATCCTAGTGACTAGAAGGGCAACCGAAAATTGAAAATACTTAATTAACAAATGAGTGAAAATTGGAGTCCTGATTGGCAATTCTAGCTCAAAAAAAAAAATATTTATCCTAGAGAAGATTTATCCCTTTTATTGCACCTCAGCCACCACAGCATCAGCTCCAGCTACCACAGGCCCCGCACTGGACATTATCCATTATAGGAGCAAAATAGCAAAGACAAAGCAACCTCACAAATTATTAAAGTACAAAACATCAAGCAACCTCCAAAAGATTGCTAACTTTTAAAACTAATTTAATCTTATCCCAGGATTTCAAGGGAAGAAAAGAACCCCAGATCCATCCACCATTCCAACTCCTTGACTCTCAGCTCTGCTCATTCAATCCAGGTACCTTTGAATTCAATGTTAAGAATTTTCCAGAAATTTCTTTTCTTTTGTTGTTTGGTTATGAATTTGTTGTTTTCATCATACATGTTATATATGAATTGTCAGCTGTCAAGCCCCTTTTTCACATATTGTGACTTTATTATTGGATAAAGCTCGGAATCTTGAAAGTCTGCTTCTTTTAATCTCTTTCCCCTTTCTAACATCGCCACCGCCGCCAAATTTGGGGCTTCTGGCTGATTTCTACGGCGGGTTGTTTTTCTTTCGTGGATTAATTTTCTTTGCGGGGTGTTGGTTTTGTTCTTGATGACAGTTTGCGTAAAGAAAGATGAAATTTTTCTGGAGCTTGCTGGTTTTCTTATCGCGTGTCTTTTTCCATTTTTTCCCCTTGCCGGTTTAAGCGGTGAGAGGTGCGGTTACGTTAAAAAATATCTCTCCTTTTTGTTTCTGTTTCTTGAGGAAGAGAACTGCCCAACCGTTTTTATAACTTATATTGCCAAATACATGCATTTTTTTTTCCAGTGTTTGCTGGCTGCGTTTTGATTTTGGTTGGCATGGATGATGCTTGTGTTGTCTTCTAGAATATAGAAATTGGGTAACAAGGGAAAGTAGGAACTTTGTTTGTCTTTATGTTTCTTCACTTGATACTTCTTTTTTTGTTTTTTCAGTTTTTTCCATTTTTTAGTTTTTTGTTTTTTTTTTTTTGTTTTTGTTTGTTTTCACTTTTGAGGCCTTTATTTTTTTTCGGGAGGGGGTGATTTGGTTTTTTTATGACATTGGGGAAGAAGTGCAAGTAAAGGGCTTGCTTGGAGTTGAAAATTTCATTTCATCTTATAAAATTAGAATTTTTAAGTGCTTGTTCAACTACTCATTTTGAATCTGGTGCTTTGTACTGTAGGTTTTGATATTGATTGGTGTAGTTGATTTGCTGCTTTTAAGAGTCAGTGAAATCTCTAGGGCTATTTGGGTTCATGGGGGGAAGGAGTTCTAAGGAGGGCAGTAGGAGGCAGACTTCTTCATTTGGTTCAACTTCATCCTCATGGGATTCTCATTATGAATATCCTCAGTCAACATATGGTCAACAGAGTCGGGGTTATAATTATATGCCACAGCAGAACTATGCCACACCCCAGTATTACCCGCCTCCACCTCAACCTCAACCTCCACCTCCACCTCCACCTCCACAGCAGAATTATGCCACACACCAGTATTACCCGTCTCCACCTCAACCTCCACCTCCTCAAGGTTACAGTGTTGATAAAAGGAAATTAGAGAGGAAGTATTCAAGAATTGCAGATAACTATAATTCCTTAGAAGAGGTAAAGATCACATTGCAGATACATTGGCTACTTTATGTGGTTATTATGCTCTCTCTAGATTGATTGTTATGGATTTGCAGCAACATTCTAGTTGGAGATACATAATGATCTTTGTTTTGAAACCATTATTTCTCTGTTTCTCCTCTTTTGGTAACATTTTTGTTTGTAGAGTATATGGTAGTTTACTTTGTTTTGCCAATTCCACCAATCTGATATTCAATGATGTCACGCCAACAATATAACATGCAACATGCACGCCCTTTATCAGCAAAAACTATGTTTCTCATCTTTGGTGATCATTTAGATAGGAAGAAATTGTCTGTAATTTACCAAAAGTGGAAAATGTTCCTAGTATGAATTAACATGGGACTTTTGGTACTTATTGTTAAAATTTGACATCTTTAAGAGTTTTAACTCAGGGTGATGATTGCAGGTGACTGTTGCACTTGCACATGCAGGCCTTGAATCTTCCAATCTCATTGTAGGTATTGATTTCACAAAGAGTAATGAGTGGACAGGTAAATCTATTTGAAATGATGAAGTGTATTTTACAAGCCATAGTGGAGGTTACTGAATCTGGTTTGGTGACTTTGGTTTACAGGTGCAAGGTCATTCCATAGAAAAAGCTTGCATCATGTTGGCGAGGGACTAAATCCTTACGAGCAAGCAATATCTATTATTGGAAAAACATTAGCTGCCTTTGACGAGGATAATATGATTCCCTGTTATGGATTTGGAGATGGTATGTTTGATCTTTCTTCATATATTTTTATATATATATATATATATATTCACAATGATTTCCATGATTGAAATGTATATGACAATAATTTCTTTTGTTTACTTTCAGCATCAACACATGATCAAGATGTCTTCAGTTTCCTCCCAGATGAGAGATTCTGTCATGGATTTGTGGAAGTCTTAAGCCGTTATAGAGAAATTGTTCCTCATCTACGGCTTGCAGGTTTAAACCTTACTCCAAAATTTTCACCCTTGTTTAAGTTACCTAAAGAATCTTATCCAATTGTATTACTTATTTATCCTTTGGCAGGACCCACCTCTTTTGCTCCTATCATTGAAATGGCAATGACTATTGTCGAGCAGAGTGGTGGCCAGTACCATGTGTTGCTGATAATTGCAGATGGGCAGGTATGAGAAGCTGTGCTACATTTATGGCTAGGTTGTTGTGTTACTAAAAAGGAAAAAAAAGGGAGCAAAGCAGGCAAACAGGAAAATTGAATCAAGATATTTGCTTGCAAAGGAGACAAATTTAAGAATGCTAATAAAATGCTTTCCTATCCTATTTATGAGTTTCTTTTTTTTTTTAGTAAATCTTATTCTTTTAACGGTAATGGTAGTAGAAAATTCATTGCAAATTTGTATGTTTTGTAACATTACAATGATGGTTCTGTCAGGTAACTAGAAGTGTTGATACTGAGCATGGACAGCTGAGTCCACAAGAGCGGAAGACTGTTGATGCCATTGTACAAGCTAGGTAATCATGATACAGCTTGTTTCTCTAGAATTACATGTCTGTGCAACCATTTCCTTTCTCAATTCTTAAATGCATGTTTCATTTTGTCTTTCACAGCAAGCTTCCTTTGTCAATTGTATTGGTCGGGGTTGGAGATGGGCCTTGGGACATGATGAAGCAGTTTGATGATAATATCCCTTCTCGAGCATTTGATAATTTCCAGGTAAGTATTGGGGGCACAAATGATCTGTGGTTTTATTTGTTGTATTTTAGTTTTGATGTATTACTGTCAGCAAGACTACAAGAGAAGGTGGATGAGGCATTTTCTTGACTTGATTTCTGTCTCTTGATAGTTTGTGAACTTCACTGAGATTATGTTAAAGAATACTTCTCAAACACGGAAAGAGACAGAATTTGCATTAGCTGCATTAATGGAGATTCCCTCGCAGTATAAGGCCACAATAGAGCTTAATATTCTAGGGTAATAAGTTGTGTTCTCCCATTTGTTTTTTTCCTGTGAAGTTTTCCATTTGCAACAGCATTACATATTTTCTACTTATTTCTTGGGCAGCGCTCAGAAGGGAAATATCCCTGAGAGAGTTCCTCTTCCTCCCCCAGTATATGGTGCAAAATCTTTTAGCAGCTCAAAACCTTCCTGGTCTACCAGTTTTCAACCATCAAGGTCTACAAGTTTTCAACCGTCCCCCACTAAAAGTTTCCAAACAAGTGTGCCTCCTTATCCTGGAGACAGTGAACCTGTCAGCACAGCTCCAGCTGCTACAAGTTCTACATATGATAGTCAGGTATGAGGCATTTTAAATGCTGTTCCAAGTCTTCTGATCAAAACAACAGGATTAATTATACTGAACTGGAACCTCTCGGAACAAAAGCAGTATGGGGATCCAAGTCTTCTTGAGTTTTTTATCTTTACTTTCAGTTTAAATTACTTTTAGAACTCCCTGTTTTAGTAGCTATTATTTCAGAATGCTTCTCAAGTAAACTAGCAACAAGAGTCTAAGATTATATATCGTTCTTGACAGCTTTGCCCCATTTGTCTTTCCAACTCAAGGGACATGGCATTTGGTTGTGGGCATCAGGTATTCCTTGAATGCATTTTCATCTTTTCATATTTATATCTATATATATATATTGGAAAGATATAGTTCTTGACACAATATAACTCAAATCTCTGAATGACCTTTATCTTTTACAGACCTGTGAAGATTGCTCAAGGAATATCGAAACATGCCCTATTTGTCGAAGTTCAATCCAAACCAGAATAAAGCTGTACGTGTGACTCTTTTTTTTTTTTTTCTCTCTCTCTCTCTTTGTTGATATTCATTGTAATTTGTTATCGGAAAAATTGTGAATATTTATTGTCACAAACCTAACAGTATGTAAATAGCTTTGGGATGCTGATTGGCCGTTTTATTTTATTTTTTTCTTCATTTTCCTTCAAACCAAACGGTACCTATTTTCAGTTAGACCTAATAAACAGGTCATGTTTGGTTGCTTTGGATTGGGTCATTTTGGATTTTGGATTTTGGATTTTTTGAATTGAGTCATTTTGGTGTCGGGTTAAAAGAGTAAACTTATGATCCACCTATACGGGTTTCGGATTGAGTTGGATGGATTTAATTTTTAAAATGTTAAAATTAAATTTTTTTATATTTTTCTCTATTTTTTTATTTTTTTTAACAAAATTTAATATTAATTAACTATTTAGTTAGAAAACTTTATTAAACGTTAAATTTCATTTCACGATTCAATTTTTATTTCAATCTCAAGAAAAGAAAATGTAAAGATTACTAATTATATAAGTGAAACTAAAACATATGTCAAATATATAATATCTATATAATATTTAGAACTCATAATTTCATAAACACACTAACCTTTATTAAAAAAAGAGACATGAAGAATTAGAGTTCAAAAGATAAATCCAATGTATATGTTAATATTTAATGTTTATTCAATATTTATAAGGGTATTATACAAAAAATACAATTCTATTCAATATTTAAAAGGGTATTATACAAAAAAATAGTCATATTCAATATTAAAGTTTAAAAGATAAATTCAAAATATGTTTAAACAAATACAATAAGAAACGAGATTGGGATTGATTTTTATTAACTAGAAACAAATTATTAATTTAAAACAAATTAGTAATTTAAAACATATTAGCAATTAAGAACAAATCTTGATGTTCTTGTCATTGTGCTTCTAACGATGATAAAAGTACCTCAACCACTTGCTTTTGATTTTTAGTAGGCATTTTTGTTTTTTATTTTTTTTAATAAAAAGATCTTTTCGACAATACTATGTGACACAACTCACTATGTATCACATAATCTGATTTTTGACGTAAGTGCCATCAAAGAGAATGATTAAAGAGCTTGAGAAGAAGAAGGGGAAAGCAAGAGTGGAGAAGAGAAAAAGTTGAGAGAAAGAGAAACTGACATGAGGTTAAAGCTTGGGTATTCTATTTATTTCTACTTTTAGGATTAAGAAATTAGAAATTTAAAATAAATTTTTAAATAATTTAATAAAAAAAATAAATAAGTTTAGCTCATTTCAGGTGACCCAACTCACCCGTGACCCAACCAATTTAAATTCGAATAATTTCAATTTGGATAATTTTAGATTTCAAATTTTAGATTAACACAAAAGACCTATCACCCGATACATCAGTTGGGTTGGATTTTCAAATTGAATTCAATTTTAACAAGTCTAATTTCAGTTGAGTGAAAAGCAAATAAACTTGTTCTTTTTCCTTTGATTTGATTGTCATTCTCAACATTTGTACAGAAAAAACAATCTAGTATTCAGAAACATGAAAATTGTATTATAGTAAGAAGTTCTATCATAATCTAGTTTGCTTGATTTAAAATTTGGCTTTTTTGAGCTTAAGCAAGTTGATATGTATATTAACTTTAAAACTAAGGTTTTAAAGTTGAGTACTAAGTGTCAACACTTATTTCCTTTGTCTATAATATAAAGAAGAAAAAAAAA